TAATGATAAAAAATAAATAAATTAATTAAAAGATATTATTTATCATAATGGTAACAAATTGTTGGACTGATACTGGTAGTAGCTAAGGATTACAAACAGTTGTGTTGACTCCACTCCTCCTAGTTACTGTGTTAATTATCAGAGTTCATGATGGTGGGTGATCCGTAATTATGATGAAAACAATGGGCAGTGATAACTGGGTCACTTTCTGATCCACTCAGCTTATTCACTTGCACACCGAGTCCCATAAAGTGGCTTTTTAATTGTTCTTTACTTTAATCGATTTTTCTCCGGAGTTTGTTTTTTTTTTATAATTTTATTTCTCCCTGATCAGTGAAGCCACTGGTTTGAAGCAAACAGTATCAAAACCATGGGAAGCCTTATGCTGAGTTATGCCTTTCATGTGCAATGTTCTTGAGATTTGAACAAGTGTCCCAAACCAAGCGCTGGGATCGATCCTTAGCTTGTCTTTGCCTGCTACGAGTAGTACAGACCGACAGGACAGGAGTCCAAAAATGTGTTGAGATCATGGGTTTCCTTTATTTGATGGTTTCGTCTTGCGTGAATAAGCAACTGGACTTTAGAGGTAACTTTGATTTACTGCTGTTTGATAACTTTCGACTGTCTGACAATTAAAGGTTCAATGCTTAATTTTTCAACCATGTTTAGGTAAATAATCTTATCAATCGCGAATAATTTATGCCTATATATATTTATATTGGGAGAATTACCAATATATAACCTTCAAAATTAATGAATATAAATTATTTTTGTGTTTGGTTTGTAAACTATATTAATAATTAATGTATTTAATGGGTGATAATTACAAAATGATTAAATATTATTTTACTAAAATACCTTTTATTATTATTATATAAGGTATTTTTGTCCAAATAATTAATTAATAAGGTTAAAGAAGTTATTCAATAAATTGGGTAAGTTGGGTTAATTGTTATTTGACATCAAAATGAGGACATTTATTTTCAGAATTTTTATTAAGGGTAAAATTGAAACAAAAATAGGATTATCACGATAATCTTAAAATATCATCTTCTAAGTCAATAATCACATGACCTCATATATTATCTCTCATATCATATAAGTAATAAAATATTATTAGAATCACTTATTACCTATTGAACCCAATAAGACAATGATAGGATTAAAAGATAGATTAACGAAGTAATCCTGTTAAGGCCCTAACCATATGCAGCCTGGCATCTCCGTCCCTCACAATAATTTTGCCTTTATTTACTAGAAAAACCAAGTGGCTGCCTAACTTAGAACACATTTAGGGACATGTATAGCTAACTGACTGGTGAAATTCACACCATAATCCTTTTTGTACGAAGGATTTGAAATTTTTGATGAAAATTTAAATAAGAATTTTATATATATTTGCTTCATATTGAAATTGTTGTGGTTATTAATGGTGAATAACCGAATAAGCATATATATAAACACACAAACAACAAAGAAAAACTTCATAAGTACAGGGTAAATACTGATAATTAGTGAAATATATATAGGTTTTGGAGGATACAGTTCAAATTCCTTATGACTTGATGATGAGTGGACGGAAGGGGCCGTGAGAAGTTTGGCAATTGCTTTTGGTTTGACTGGTACAAAGCCGGGAACAGCAATTATTTCATTCTTCTACGATTTCCAAGCTCATATCTAATGGGGAAATTATTGGTGTAGAGATAGAAATCGTTCCAAAGATGGCTCCAATTGTTCATGCAATTACCATATTGTTCAAAGTGAATTTGAAGCCCCATTTATGGGTTTTGTTGTTGTCAGGTGTCAAACACATTTTAAAACAAGCCATTCACTGTCACTTCAAGATTGAAGCTGATTGTTGTGCAACTAAATTTTATAAATAAATACCATTTTTTATTTATATACAGATAACGAGTTTACATGCTAAGCTGCTTCTTAAAAGATTATAACCATGACAGAATATTTAATCTTGAATCTTGATAGCAATTCAAGATCGGGTTTGAATGATAGCTAATATGCTTCCATGTTAGAGTGCTTGAAAGAATTCTTCCGTGCCGTCGCCAGAACAGTCTTGTCAGCAACTATGAAGTATGCGGCGCCCGCCACTGTAATTGATCAATGAATCAATTTAATAAACATAAACAACCAAACGGTCTGATAATAATGATCCACATATATAAGAACATAGTAAGGATATGGTCACCTGTGGAGATAATGAGAGCTTGAGCCGTATGGTTGAGATTAGCTCTTGCCCAAGGCAACATTCTCACACTAGCCAGCTGCATGCATTTTGAGAAATGTTGAAATTATGATTAATTGTTTTAGAATATATATGTCGTCTTAATTACAAATCATGAGATCTTTACAAAGACTTACAGTTGGAATGGCTGTGGCAATGCCAGCGACAACAGCTGCCTTAGCTCCCGCAATTACACCCTCTGTTGATTAATTAAGACAAAACAATTACGATTCATAGAGCTATTTATATCATTATATATAAGCAAAATCCAATTACTTTTTGGCCCACCGCATCATCAATCTTGACTGTGGAATATAAAAAAATGCCAAAGATTAAATTTTGCTCAATACTTGAGGGTGAAAAAGATGTGTGATTCGGGTCTCTGCATATCCCGGTCCTCTACTTCCAAAAGGGCCATTGTTTTGAGTTTTGACAATGGAGAGAGATACCCATGAAATAATTAGGATCTTTTAAATCGGATAGCTATAAATGATGTGAAAAAATTTAACATGTTATCTCATGATGATCTTGGTGTAAAAAACAAAGGAAAAAGAAAGGTGACATAGACATATACCATGAGAGCAACGCTTAGCCATGGCCAGCTTTTGATCAAGTGAAGCCAAGCTAGATCTCTCAAGAGGAGACTGAGCCACATTTTTTGCCATTGTAAGAAATGTAATTTGAAAAAATACACAAACGGGATACGTTAATAAGGAAGTTAATTGATGTATTGCATGGTTGGATTGGATATTTATAGGGAATTGAGAGTAGATGCTGTGACGGAAAGAGAGAGACAGAGGTCATGTTGTTTTCAAATACTGAACAGCACTGGAGTACAGAGTTTGATGGTTTCACTTCAGTTGCTCGCACCTGGGTTTGTGTTTATGGTGGGTTCATTCTTTGGCTTTGTTCCCTTTATATCTATATGCCCCTGGTTTTCCCCTGCAATTCTGTCATAGATAGGTGAAAGTAGGTGGACTTCGCCTCAAAGGAGATCTTAGTATCTTACATGATTTACGCATAATACTGTACATATAACGTCTTTATATAATATGATGCCTAAAAGGTGATTAGCTAATTTAAATTTAAAAGAAAAAAATTTACCTAATCTATCTTTTAACCTATCATGTTGCAGGAGATATATTTATAAAAATATTATATATGTAGTATTATTCGGGATTTAATTATGCCTTTATACGTAATTATAGAGAAAACAAAAGGTATAGATATTTGGTCACTTTACCTACTTTTTATTATGAATAATACTAACCTTACAAAGAGCTATACAAAAAATCAAATCTAGCCCTAGAAATTCATGATCGCCTCTTTCTTTCTCTTTTTTTTTTTTTTTAAGAGCTAAATTTGACTCTTTGTACGACTCTAAAAAAGCTAGATTTGACTCTTTGTACGACTCTAAAAAAACTAGATTTGACTCTTTGTACGACTCTTTATAAAATTAGTATTACTATTTTATTATTCACTTACACATAGATCCAGAGCCAGCGGGTTGCTCCAAAACCATGGGTAGGCTTCATGTGTAACTGCAATATCCATGAGATTTGAACAAGTGTCCTCCCATAAACGTTGATTTGATGGGATTTTTTGTTCAATTTCAATCTTCAATCTTGAGTGGGTTGCAAGTACCTTTTACTGGGCTGACTGTTCATAATTAAATTACTCTTGATTTGAATCATTTGATTGACCCTAAATTAAAAAGTACAGATGTTATATTGTCAATACAATAATGTAAATTATATATGCAAGTTTATGTTTATGATAAAGGTTATTGAATATGTATGATGTACGTGTGGGGCAGCCCGTTGTTGCTAAGGATATTGTGTGGTTTTACTTGAAAATAGGCTTAGCCTAAGTTTGGACATATTTTAAGGGGATAAGGAATAGCAGATTTAAATCTAATGTTTTAAAATGCTTTTTACTTTTAAGAACGTCTTTCGTATAAAAAATATCTTTGTTAATTTTTAAATATAAAAAATATAATTTTTATTTAAATCTAATAGATCCTTTAAATTTAATGAAGATATTCTTTATTTTTAAGAAAGAGACTTGATAGGAGAGAAAATTAATAAATAAAATACATAAAAACTTATAGTTTATTAATTAGAATTAGGATAGAAAGTAAAATTTGACTCTTTAAATATGGAGAGTCAAACTCACTCTCTAATTTATATTTTAAAGATAAAGAATCTATTGGATTTTTGTTTTCATGAATAAACTCTTTATAATAAAAAATTTGGATCATGTAAAAAGTCCTATAGAGATGTTTAATTGAAAGATAACAATGAAAAAAGTGATCAATTAAAACTTTTTGATGTATTATTTATGAGATTTTTAATATAGTTTATCTCTACTGATAATAAGAGTAGCAAGTGAATGTTTGTCCCATCGTTAATTTCAAAGACTTTAAAAGATTACTCCAATAAAAAAAAATGATGGAAGAAGTGATTATATTTATATATATTAATGTTTGGTTGACCAAGTGTGTTTTATTGGAGAGAGTGAGAGACATTAATAAATAGACATAGTTGAGTCTCATTAGTGATAGAATTAAGAGTCCAAATTCCAATAAAAATGGATGATTTGCCTTGCATGTTATGTTATGAGTGCTCTTCTTCTTTAGTTCTTTTCTGTCATTTTGCAAATGTAATAAATATAAATACGTATAGTGAATTTGTTGTTTATTATTTAACAAAATTCATTAATTTAATTATAAATGAGATAGGTGTCATTTTCAGTCTCAAGTGGGTGAGAAAGAACCAAAGAAACCCGCGTGCTTCTGCAAGCTGACTCCTGACGGTCCCCATTTCAAATTTCAATCAATTCATTTCTTAGACTCATCAAATCTTTGACTCCATTAATAAAATACTTGAGCCTTAATCTGTATACATTATGATTTAAGTGTTCATTGGGCCACATTAATATATATACATGATTCAACTAACATTCCTCATTTGACTTTCCCTTTTCTAAATATTTTAAATGTCCTTCAATTAACATTCATAGTTAACTGCTTTCCCTTGTTTTAGTTTTGGTCTTTTAAAACTTTAATTATTACATTACATATACTTCTTATGTCTCTGAGCTTGAGGTCATGATACCTCTTAACTTTATATTGGCCGAACGAATCTTCTCACCCTAAGTTTGCCCCAACGTCAATTTACTACCCAAAAAGTTTAAAAACGACAATTACCCACCAACCATTAATTATATCCGTTAACTTGAACTGAAAAATGATAGGATGGTAAATTCAAAAATAGTCAAAAGGTAATTCTGTCATTTTACGCCATATATAAAAAAACATTTTTCTAATCTCCCCATCCCCATCCCCCTCCCGTCTTCTTCTTCTTCATGCCTCCACCGCTAGAATTTCGTTGCCTTTCCAACAACCAACATTTCCCATTTGATAGCCCTTCCATTCTCTGCGCCCTTTCCAACTACCTGCTCACCAACAACCGCCCGTAGCCATCGAATTTGCGACTCCCAACCCATCCAAGTCCCTCAATCATGTCTGATTGCCTCTTTCGCAATCACGCGACAAACCCTTACACCCCAGTTGACAAACTCCATGACATCCACCATCTGCCCCCTTGTCTCGTTGTGATTGTGTCATGTGCCTAACTAGATGCGATTTGGTTGGAATCGTGCCTGGCCAGGAGTAGTTTCTGTTGGCACGATTTCGGTCGGTTGAATAAGATTTGGGATTTGGATTCAAAGAAGGAAATGTATTTTCATCTTTACGGTTACTATATCATGTTAGATAACATATTTTATTAACAAATCTTAACGGCGAATGGGTAATTGTCGTACATATATTAACGATGGGTGGGTAATTGTTGTTTTCAAACTTTTTGGATAGTAAGTTGTTGTTAGGGCAAACTTCGGTTGGGAACATACCGTTCGCCCTTTATATTCTTTTAAGTTTGTCAAAGTAAACTAGATTGTACGAGATAGCTTCCAATACATTAGTTTATTTTGAAGAATTTCATTTGGGTTTTGGGTGTGTGTTAAATAAAGAAAAGGTGGAAAGATAGATGATGAAATATTTTCTTTATTTCCTGTAATCGGTGAAAGAACATGGGAATGCGTGGCTATGTGAAAAAAGTAAAAGAAAATTGCAATTTTTAAATTTTACCATCATCAGAAATCAACACTCATTATGTCACCACATGATCACCTTCATACACTTATCATGACTACCACATTGCCTCCTATTCCTTTTACACGTAAGCATATATATATATATATACATATATATTTGAATCCAAAGCACTGATCTGACTTGACTTAATTAAATTAGTATTACATTAATAATATTAATCATCTAAAACATCACTTCCATTACTGTAAAATCAAACAAACTGTCACTTAATTTTATTTACATTTTACAGTTAGAAATAGTCAAAATGATGGGGTATCTGATAAGGGGCCTCTCTCTCTTTCTTGCTTAATTTGGGTAAATTATTGTAACCCTTATTCCTAATCTTGCAAACATATTGGTCATTAGGAACCTCTGGAGGCTTAATCGATCTAATTAATGCCCAATTAACACCCTTGAAGAACTCATGCCTCTTTATCTCAACTGAACCCTTTAAGCTCCCCATTCTCTTCTTTGGATTCTTCACTAGAAGCCTGCTTATAAGATCTTGTACTTTCACCATTTCTTCAAATTCTTTACTGCTACTAACACCCATTCTCGGCATGCTTAATGGCTTTTTAAGAATGTTAATTAGTGTTTTCTCGTTGTTTTCACCTTTGAATGGTGTTGTCCCGTAAATCATCTCGTACAAGAACACCCCTAAAGTCCACCAATCCACAGCGCTTCCGTGCCCTTGCCCTGATATCACCTCCGGCGCCAAGTACTCATGCGTCCCCACGAAGGATTTTGATCGAGCGTTGATTGGTTCAGCTACTAGTTCCGGATCAACTTCTTGAGTGCCTTCAACTTGTTCCGTGATTGTTGTAACTGTTACCTTCTTCTTTCTGGTTGAGGCCGAAAAACAAGATAGCACCGGCTGCATGGGTGTAGCACACGATGGAATTGAGCAGTATTTTTCATACTTGTCAATGGCTTCCAAGTTGAGTTTTGGCTTCAGCAGCTTCGGCACAACGTCACATTTTAAAGAAAGATCGAAATCCGAAAGCATGATATGACCATCTTCTCTAACCAACACGTTTTCTGGCTTTAAGTCTCTGTAAACTATGCCCATCATGTGTAGATACTCTAGAGCCAAGAGTGTCTCAGCCGCGTAAAACCTGAACCAATTAACAATTTATTGCAATATTAAGTATCAACCATTATCATTATCATAAGAACTGAAACTGTTAACAAAATCTCTCTTTTTAAAACGCAATAAAAAAAACTAACTTACTTGGCAGATGAAATGCTGAAGCGCTTCCCCGGCTGGCGTTGGCGAGCGGCGTACAAGTCTCCGCCGGGACAGTACTCCATGACCAAACAAGAGTAATGAGAGGCCTCAAACTCTGCGTAAAGAGTTGGTACAAAAGGATGATCGAGCATGGTTAAAATCTCCTTCTCCATATCGGCTCTGTGTAGCTTCTTCCTTATCGCAAGTGCTTCTCTATCCACCACTTTCATGGCGTAAAAACACTGTGGCAGTCCCACCACAGGGTTCCTTATCTGGCAAAGATAAACGTTCCCTATGTCACCACTGCCGAGCCGGCGCAGGA